TTTAACTGCATTGGGAAAACCACATAGATAAAACTATCTTACTGTTTATCCTTTACAAACTTAAAGCAAAACAAACACAATATTTTATTTATTTTTGTGTATCCCTATTTTCAGATATTGGCAAAAAACAAAACAAAACAAAACAAACCTCTGCTTACAAGAAAGAAAAAAAGCCCAAACAAGAATGTAGTATGTAAGTGAGTACAAAATGGGATGGTGTAGAAGACAAACTGATTACCTAACCTAAGTCCCAAGAAATCAAGAAACAAAGCGTCACTCAGATCCAAGCAGGGTTAACCGGGGAAGGCTGCATTTCTGTGTGTACCTGCTGCTTTCTTCAGCATTGCACTATACAACATGCTGGGACAGCCTAAGAGATGCAGACTATACAAATACAGTCTCGCATCTCACCACCAAAGCACAAACATTCCAGAGGCATGGAAGCCAAAGGGTAAACACTTCCACAGTCAACTCTTAAACTATTCACATTTACAGAAGGAAAGAGCAAAGCCACCGCTAATCCAAGAATAGATACATGGAAAGACCATGGAGTTAGTTTTGGAATACACTTTTTGAATATAGGTGTATCCCATGTTCAAGAACTCACAAGTCTGTTATGAATTAGTCATAAGGAGTTAGAAACCTTTTCACCATTTATTATAGCTACCAGAAATAGTTCACCGGATAATTTCAAAGACACATTCTTAGATTGGTAACTAAAGTTCCACTAATTCCACCAGACAATGTAGAACTATACAGATAAAATTTTGGAATTGGCAAAAAAAGTATGGCATGGACAAATAACCCTGTCCAAAATTGAAAATAAATAGCAGAAAACTTTTTTAAATTCTACAAAGTACTAAAATTCCCTTTCAATTGGTGCAAGTTACCTGGTTTCAGTTGTCTGGTTTTCCACTGCCTCTGCTCCTTTCAATCAATTCGGTCTTCTTGTCTCCGTCTTGAATACATTGAGCTCTCTTCATTTCTTGTGCAAGGTCTGCTGCTTCACTTTCACGAGCTGTCCCTTCTGAACCTGGCTCTGGATGTTCTTGAAAGCTCTTGCCCATGAACATTTCAGATAAAATCTTATCAAGCTTCCTCCATCCTCACTCTGAGTCAGAGAAACTCACTCCACTAAACCTTACAACAGAACTTTTGCTATGTACACTTGGATGGACACCGTAAGCTTCTAGGGAAGAATTAAAGATTCAGTACTCCTTGCTCATGACACACGATGACACTGGATCCTTTTGTAAACATAATTTCACATTTTCACAAGGTCACAGGCATCAAAGAATGAGCCAAAAGTCATATATGAGTGTGATATATAGATAATGTGTTTCATAGTCTGAATTCGGATCTTAGTCCCACCACTTACTGGCTATGTAATGTTGGAAAAGATCTTAAACTCCTTTGAGCCTTTGTTTCTTAATCTGTAAAATGGGGATACATAATAGTGCCACTTAGGCTAGCTATGAAAATCAAGGTAACAGGTAGAATGTTTGGCACAGGTACTAAACAAATATTAGCTAATATTATTACAATATTATTGGTTTTCTTAAAAAGAACTCATTCTAATTATTGGCCATTAGCATTATAGTTTAGATGTCCATAATGAACCAGTATCTCTACATGATTTTTATCCTGTCATAACTGAAGTTTGCCACTGTTGATTTCCCCCATCTAAGTTGAGATACTAATTTGAAATTTATGGCCAACATCTAGCCTGAGTGATCATATTCTAACCATGTGAAATTAAACTCCCTCTTAATGTTGAAGATTTACTATCTGTTTCTCTGTATCTATGTAATATAGTCTGTTCAGACTTAAAATTTTGATCAGTGCTGCTAGACACTGTTGAATAAAACAGAGGGGGAAAGGGTTATTATGGCAGGATGAGAAATGAACAGTACTTAATGAACTTGCATTTCAATTGAGAGAGTTTTTAATAAAAAAGAAAGAGCTTTTTATAAATTCTTTTGCTCAGCAACAATAAAAAGAGGAAAAGAGCACTCAGCTGGGAACAATAGCTACTCAGCTCATAAAATATCATTAGAAGGAACATTTTCTTTGTCCACCATGCCCAGCAATTTCGCTGGTGGGCAATGATCCAGATCACTTAGGTTCCACCTATAAAAATGAGTCCAGAGAACCTTCTCAATTTTTCCAGCTAATAAATTATGCTAACAAAAATCCTAATATCTTAATGTAATGCCAGCATAAATAAAATTTTGACTCATAATTCATGGAATCTTTTTGACTAGATGATACTGATCCAGCAATAACAGTATTTGCTCTTTGGGTTGTTTTTCCATTAGAAGAGAGGGACTATGCTGACACGTTTACTCACTCCCATCAAATCGTCCTTGCAGCCAGGGGCCTGTATCTGGTTGATGACTGTTGGGCAAGGTGCAGAGTGCCCCAGGACAGCATGGTTCCACTGTGTGAAATGAGCTGGTTTACTTTTCACTGCAGTCTCTGTAGCTCATCTTAATTTGGTTGAGTTAGAGAAACTTCGTATTCTTCACATAAAAGGCCTGGCTGATTCATCTTCTCCCATGAATGATATTAAACTGTACTAAGCTAATTGTCAAGCGTGTTGAAGGTAAGTCAATAAAAGCTCTTTTCTGTGTGCAGGGTTCCCCATGACAACGAAAAGACTTCTGCACATGAATAAATATGTTATTTCTAATGACCCTGCTGGGCAATCATAAGCATGCCCATTAATGTAAGTCTTACATGTCTCATTAATTAAAAAGTATGAGGCAAAAAAGTTACCTGTTTAAGAATGCTTTCTTTTTGTATTTAGTTTGAACATGTTGAACATTTTAAGAATAAACTTGTATCTTTACTGCCGGATATAGCAAGTATTCAATATCTGCTGAATGTCTAAAATATATTTAATACAGAGTAAAGTGCTCTGAAGACTAAACAATGTATTCCAAGCCCAACATTTTTTCCTAACCTTCTCTCCACTTTTGACTTTATGTTGAAGATTGGCACCATCAACTAAGATCTAAATAGACCTACAGGAATGCCGTGTTCCCCTTTAATTAACTGTCCATATGACTTACAATTTCTCTGCAATCTGTTTTGTTCTTAAAAGGTCCTTCCTTGTCCCTCAGATTGCATCTAAGATGTAAGAATACACAGAAACTGCAGTATCAACAAAGAGCTTAATTAAGGAGAATATGCAATGACAGCATATACGAAAGTGCAATCTTTGCTGAAGATAGGTAACCATTCAAATTAGCTTTTTACAGATAATAAGGAGCTGGGGGGTGGGTAGCTGGTGAAAATTCAGTTTTATAAGTATACTGCCATTTAGAGAATTATACCTGGGTATCTGCAACAGTAAACAAGACAGATATGATCCCTGCTCTCAGAGAGCTCATAATTCATGGTATTACTTTTGCTGGTTGCACCAGAAAAAGAGGAATACATTTTAGCTTGGCCTTCAACTACATAGGTATAGTTGTGGAGATCTGGGGATTAGGATGGCAGGCACCCTTAGGTACAAGGATAACAGCAGGAAAACACTAATTGTATTTATTAATTGAAATTTTCTGAGCTTATACTCCAAGTAGCTATAGTTCAATTATATATGCCTGATTTTAAGTAATGCCTTCACATATTTAAGGGGGAAAAAATATCCCAACCCTGTCCTGCTGCACATTAAAAATGACCACTGATTCTTTTAGTCCTATCCTCTCTCTTTGAATCTAGGCAGGCTCTGTAACTCTTAGACCAACTGAATATGGCACAACTGATGCCCGGACAGTTTCCAGACCCAGGAAGAACTATTTGGCAGCTTCTATTTTTTGTCTCTTGGGCCATTCTCTAACTGCTATGGTGTGATGATGCTCTAATACCCCTGGGGAGAAGCCTATGTAAAGAGGAACCTATGCATGGAAGGAGGAACCAGGGTTCTCAGTCAACAACTAGGTCCAACTTGCTGGCCAGAGAAGTGGTGCCTCCAGCCTCAGTTAATGCTGCATGGAATACACATGAGCTGTCCCCACCATATTCTACCCAAATTGCAGATTAAAGGGCAAAATACAGGATTACTGGGACATACCTGAAATTTTACCCTTAATCCAAGGTGGTTTTAAAGATAAAACTAATTAAATGGGGCAGTGAAAGTAAAAATTAAATTTTTTTGAGCATTTATGTGACTAAATGCTTTACATATCCATATTCCCCACAATAACCTTATTAGATAGGATTATTTTCTCTATTTTATAGATACCAGTTATTGACTGGAAAATTAAGTAACTGCCCAAGATCACATAACAGGAAGATAGTATTTAAAATCAGCTCTGACTTCAAGGCACCTGCAAAGAAAATGGGAATTAACGAAATTTCAAGCTAATGCTTGGGTGACTCAAATTCTCATGAATAAAGTATGGATTAGGAAAATATGACATCAATTAAAAGGTGCATCTGAGGGTGCCCCAATATTCCTTAGCAGAACCTTCCAAATTAGCAGTAACATTTTCCGATGTACAGCATTCAGAAAACAGCAACATTATCTCAGTACGTTAAAACTTTATGCCTACTAAATACAAGTTCCAGAGTAAAGAGGTTACAAAGATGAATGGCAAGATCCTTGCTCTGAAGGTTCTTGCATTTTAGTATGAGAAATAAGGTATGTTACACAAAGAGTTGCTCACAAGGCACCAAGCTATAGTCCCTATATACCATGTGAAGAATAAAGTGCTACAGGAATTTATTCATTCACTCAACAAATATTTATTGGGTGCCAATTTAACACTAAACAACAGACACGATGCATGCTCTCAGGGAGCTGGTAATTCATGATATTACTTGTGCTGGAAGCACCAGTAAAAGGAGGACACATTTGAGCTTGGCCTTCAGCTATGCCTAGACTTTGGGCAGGTGGAGATCTGGGGACTGGGATGGCATTCTTAGGTACAAAGGTAACAGGAGAAAAATGAAAAACACTAAAGCATAAGAAAGTTAGTAGGACATGTATAAGGACTTTAAAGCAAGAACCATATTTCATCAGCTTTAAGTTTCTACCAATTTTAAGTCAGGATCATTATTTTATAAACCAAAAGAAAAAAGTGTTAATTAAAGTTTTACAGAAGTGGTTCTCAGCTGGGGGTGATTTTTGTCCTCTAAAGGACATTTGGCAATATCTGGAACCATTTTTGTTGTCACTGCTAAAGAGAAATGACTAGTCTTTAGTAGTGATTGCTAATCATCTAAAATCCACAGGAGACCTCCCACAGAAAAAGAATTATTTGGCCTAACATATCAATAATGCCAGGGTTGAGAACTCCTAAACTACAGAATGTTAGAAGTTGAAAGATGCATCCAGGATATCTAAAAAGTATTTTAAGATAGAGAAAATGCAGTAGTTCAGTTTACCTGGAATGAACCCAAAAGTACTGGGGAATAATGCTGGCACTCTGTATCTGAATCTGTTCTCTCACCTTTGGAACAGTAAAGTGATAATGATCAGGGACTACGTTTTAAGAAATTAATTTAATGCAGTCTAAGTCACAGGGCTGGCCTTTGATGACCACTCAGTCCAACCCTTGCTTTCCAGAAACCCTGCACTCTAATCGCACTAATTGATATATCTATTTCTGCTAATTCTCCTCTCAGGAGAAATAACACTGACTCATCTCACCAATCATATGGTATCTCTTATTTTTCTTTTTTAAAGCCCAGCTCTAGGCCACGTACTCCACAAAGCTCCATGCCACTTATTCCTCCCTCATGTACTGTTTAACATATTCTCTTCTTCCTCTGAACTTTAAAAATATATCATCTGTAGCTAACCCTGTTCACCATTTATGTGATTTATCCTTCTACGTACCCTTTGGGTCATGATCCATAACTGCTTCATACTTGCAACTCTCAGGGGACCCACAATAGTGACTAGCACATCAAAAGGGGTCAATAAATACTTGTAGATGGGTGATGAATAAATACATAGTACTGGAAGACTATAATTAAATACAAATTCCTCAGACTTTTCTCGGCCTTTCCTCATAGAACTCATTTTGTAAACTTGAATCATTTTAGTAGCTCTCCAAGTCCTCATGCTTTAGCTATAGGGTATCAGAGAGAGCAGGGTTCTTGAACAAGTTCTTAACCCCTACTTTACAAAATACCATTTAATAAATTCCATTACATTTCAGATATCTCCAAGAGGTATCAGCCAGTGCTTGTTCTAAGACATTTTAAGCATGTTATATAGGTAAAGTCCCAAATTCCCTGAAAAAAAGAGATAATATAGGTACATATATAAGCAATAAGAAAATATCTACTCATTGCTCACAAATCCCAATTGCATTCTTGACAGTTACACATTTTGCATACGTGTGTGTGTGCGCGTGTGCGTGTGTGTGTAGGAGGGAATTTAGAAAATAGCAAAAATCTTAAAAATGTATGAATGTCACAAAGAAAATAAGAAAAAAGATTAGTTACAGAATTTTAAGGAGATCCTTTAAAAGATAATAAAAAGCAAGACTATTAATGTTTTATTGTTACACAGCTTAATGGTGTAAGAAAGGATGTGGTCAATGCATACAGAAAATTAAGAAGACCATGTTTTAGAATATTTTGAAGTGCTTTTTTTTTTTTTTTTTTGTAAGTTCCCTCTTTTTTTTTTCCTTCAGCATGGTGCTTGAGCATCAATCAGTGTTTGGTGGTTGCTTCTAGCAAATCTTTTGCTTCATTTATTCTGATTGCTAAGTAAGGAGACCCACCTGAGAGAAAAAAGAAAAATGAATTAAAATATACTTCATCATTGACATACTTTAAAGTCCCCTAAATATAAAAATACTCTTCTCTGATATTGTCTCACACATTAATCATCTGATGAATTATTTTATAAGCTAACTAGAAATCAAAACCGTATAAATTAAACTTGATTAGTGAAGTCCTACAACTATTAAATAATCAAAAAAACCTCTGAGAAAAATGATGGAAGAAAGGTATGATCAGAAATAACTTGAAAAACAATCAAATATTTCACCGGTCAGACATTCATCATTCATTTGACCAGAGAATGTTCTAAAATTAAGTGAATGGTTAGGTAAATAAAGTTACAGGTTTTTCCATGACTTCTTTTTTTTTAAAAGACATATTCATCTGTGAAGAGGGGTATCTTTTTGAAGAAGGTAAATCAACTCAAGGGGTCTTTTAAAGTCCTAATCGAGACTTATGATGTCACAAAAATAAAATCCATGTTTAAAAAGGCAACCATGGGAGGCTGAGGCAGGGGAATCGCTTGACCTGGGAGGCTGAGGCTGCAATGAGCCGAGATCACACCACTGCACTCCAGCCAGGTGACAGAGCAAAACTCGTCTCAAAAAAAAAAAAAAAAAAAGGCAACTATGTACTACCCAGTGCTAAAAACCTACTTAATACAAATAATCTAATATTAATAAATGAGATATAAAAATAATGTCAAAAGAAATTCTTTTTGTTCTTTGAAATGATTCTGTATAGTTTTCGATTTACAGTGCCCCAAAATAAAATTAAGTCAGTTCTTTTTTGGAGTTCTCTGCAATGAATTATTTCTAATGTATATAAACAGCAAAAGGAAAATTGAGGTGAATTTCAAATGCACAATCACTGTAAATCACAAACAGAAACTATTTGACATACAAAAATACTAGCCCCAAACTGTCACATGAAAGCTAAACCATACGCCTTCTAATTTCTAGTCCTCAATACTGCCATTGTTTAACGCTCAGACTAACAATCATATTACAGCTCACCAATCTCTTTGTGTGTTTCATTTTGCATTCTCCCCTTAAGTACAAACCATCTATAGCTGCTGAAAACATCATAAGGTCTCACTAGCTTACAACAAACCAATCTAGCTAGTACTGGCGTAAATTGCCCTGACTTTTTTCAGGCCTTTTATTGATATCATACCACCCAACTTATGAAGTGAAAAGAAAGCAAACAGATCAACAAACATGGTGTTGTGGTAGAAAGGGTAATGCTGGAGAAAGCTACATTTAGCTCTTTGCCCTTGAGGACACCACTGACATTTTCATATCAAGATCTGAACTGCTATAAACACTTATGGAATATATCATAGCATGTCCTTGAATATGCTATAACAAGAGTTACAAAGAAGGCTGATAAAAGTTTAAAGTACTTGGTTATGAAATACATCAATTTCATGATTACATTTGAAGATGATCTAGCGATCAGGAATTAGGCAGTGCTTATGTGGTGAGCTCTTTAAATTCTTAGAGTTATTAGGGTGATGTCCTCAATGTCCTGAATATCCTCAGCAAATATTAAAATATTAATTGAACTTAAACATAACCATTAATTGATTGATATGCATTCTGGATATTTAAATCACAGGCCGTAATATGCTCACTCAGCCGTCGGAAAAAAAAATCAAAGCCACAGATAATAGAAAGTCTTATTAAATATTATCCTATGACATAGCAATGTTAGAGGAACAAAATGACAGTTTATTCAGAATAATGCTGAATTCTCTACCACTCACTCTAAGTTACGGGCTTTTAATTTATGTACGTGGTAGAAATTTGGGACTGGTTCTTGTGATCCCCATTCTACCTCTGAATACTTGGGAAAGTTCCTCAGTCCAAAACAATTCCTATATTCCCTTCAAGTAGTGTTTGATTCACATTAGGTTCCATTAATCAGAGCCATTCTTATGACACTTGGAAGGCCGAAATGAGGGAAAGGCTTTCTTGCTGCACCTCGTTATCATTACTACTAGTAAGCAAGAGTGTGGTATACTGGTGGCATCAACTGTGCTTCTCGCACAGTTCTAGTGGCAGTCTGTGAGGCAGCAGCTTCCCTGACAGAGTAGCTCTGAATTAGGAATCATTCTTGTAGGCCAAGTGTAGAACTTGCTCCTTCAGATCTTCTGACAACGTGTAACCTGTACTAAATGCTCTCCTGGTTAAAATACCTAGGTGCTGGCACTGAATCCTGACTGATAGCATATCCTAGATTTAACGAAAACAAAACGCTCTTGGCTGTACACAGTGGCTCATGCCTGTAATCCTAGCACTTTGGGAGGCTGAGGTGAAAGGATCGCTTAAGCCCAGGAGTTTGGGACCAACCTGGGCAATATAATAAGACTCTGTCTCTACAAAAAATTTAAAAATTAGTTGGGTGTGGTGGTGCACAACTGTAGTCTGAATTACTGGAGAGGCTGAGGCTGCAGTGAACCTTGATTAAGCCACTGCACTCCAGCCTGAGTGAAACAGTGAGGCCCTATCTCCAAAAAAATAAAGAAAGAAAAAGAATAAAGAAAATAACATTTTTCAAACCCCTTTCAGTTTTCTGGGGGAATTCATTGGGTTCCATTTAATTAGAACGCTCAACCTTCGCCCTTGGTATTTCTGTATCTTTGTACTTCTACCACTAAATATTGCCAGAGTTCTTCTGCTTCTGGCTACTGTGAACTATCATGCTTAAGATCAACCCTCCCACTGACACCCAACTACAAGAGCTAAATAAAATATAAACACATCAGTATAAAAGCACTGGAGGGCTACCAAGTCAGTCAGGTCTTGAGGGCCAAGATCCTGAGATAAAGGAAATGCACTAGGATGAGCCCAACATTCTGCACTGCTTTTTTCCTTCAAAGAAGCCAGACACAAAAGAGTATATAATACTATTCTATATATATGAAACTCTAAAATGACATGTCTAATCTGTAGTCTATGGCAAAAAGAAGAATGGTGACTGCCCAAGCTGTGGCAGGGGAGGGAAGGGAGACTGGCAATGGGAAGAAACAAGGAACCTTTGGAGCTTATGGAAATGGCCTATTTCTGGATTGTTAGTGGTTACAGGCACAGATACATTTGCCAGAACTCATCAAACTGCAGATTTAAACGGGTTATTCTATATAAATTATATCTCAATAAAGTTGATTAATAAAAATCCAGCAGACTATGTATTGTTTTAAGAGACTATACTTTTAAGAAATAGAAAAATATATACACTATCAAAAATAACGCTGACATTGCTATGCTAATTATGAGATGAAGTACATTTTAAGGCAAAATCCAAAAATAAAGCAGGCAAATTCACAGTGTTACAAGGGTCAGTATACTGCTAAAAGAAAGCAATTTAAGTTTGAATATACCTAATAAGGTAGCCTCAAAATATGCAAAAAAAAAAAAAAAAAGGAGAAAACGAAAAAACCCACAAATCCACAATCTTAGTGAGTGATGCCTCTTCCCAATAATGCATAAAACAAGGAGACAAGATGAGAGTAGGAACACTGAAGTTAAATAACATGAACAAACTTGATTTAACTGACATAAAACATTTCACCCTACAAGTACACAATGTATCTTCTTTTAAGCTGCACATGGAACATTTACTGTAACTGACCATGTGCTAGGCTATAAAGCAAGTCTCAACACACTTCGAAGATTAAAATAACAATAAACGGTTCTACTTAAGTGTGTTCCATGGACTAATGTTGATTTACAACTACTATTAGACCATAGACATATTTGGAAATTGAGAATAAGTGTTTAGAAAATATAGCTGTTTGATATAATATTGTATCCCTGTAAAACCTGGATCTTATAATTTTCTAATAATTTCATTTTCATTGTATTTTACAAAAGCGGTCAGTCCACTTGTGATTGAGAGAAAAAAAACAAGTCCTCCAACACAAAGAGTTTGAGAAACACTGAAAAAGAGTCTGTTAACTGACCACAGTAGAATTAAACCGGAAATCAGTAACAAACACATCCAGGGTATCCCAACATTTGAATCTTAAATCAATACACTTCTAAATAACTCATGCATCAAGGAAGATACCACAATAGAAATTAACATTCAAGAGAGAGAATCAACACAGTGAAAGATTAGTTCTCTAAAAAAACTAATCAACTTCATGTCAGAGCATGTTAAAATGTAAATGAAAGATAAATTCCAAGAAAAACAAAACTTTCAAAACTAATATAAGAAATGGAAAATCAAAAGAATATTTAAGAAACTAAACATTAATTAAAAACCTTCCCATAAATAAAAATCCTGGTGATGATTTTATTGATTTTTTCTGAAAAATAGAAAACACTTTTTAACTCTTTTTATGAGGCTAGCATATCTTTGATAACAAACCCTAATGAAGATGTCACAAGGAAACCACAGACCCATATCTCTCATGAGCACAGGTGCAAAACAAACAAAATATTCACTCATCAAATCAGACTAGCTATTATGACCAAGTTAGGTTTTTATCAGGAATGCAAGATTGGCTTACACATTGAAAAATTAATCAATGTAATTTACCACATTAACAGAACAAAAAACAAATATATAATCATGTCAATAGGTTCGGAAAATTCAACACACATTCATAATAAAAATTTTCAGTAAAGCTCCTGCACAGAAAAAGAAAGAAACAGCAGAATAAACAGAAAACCCAGAGTAGGAGAAAATCTTCACAAACTGTGCATCTGACAAAGGGCTAATATCCAGAAGCTACAAGGAACTCAAACCAATCAGCAAGAAAAAAAATAATCCCATCAAAAAGTGGGCTAAGGACATGAAAAGACAATTCTCAAAAGAAGATAAACAAATGGCCAACAAACATATAAAAAATGCTCAATATCACTAATTATCAGGGAAATGCAAATCAAAACCACTATGCCATACCACCTTACTCCTACAAGAATGTCTATAATTAAACAATCAAAAATTATAAATGTTGGCGTGGATGTGGTGAAAAGGGAACACTTTT